GATCCAGAGAATGCCAAGGTAAAAAGATCAATGCAACCTTTGACGACCAAGGCCTTGCGTTTGGTTAATTTTTTCTCCGGTTTTTCTTCGACGGCCGCCATTACTAGCAGAGCGGTTTCGATTTTGACAGAAGATTTGAATGATCTCCAATATGCAGGTGTAGACATGGCTACTTTCATGTGGTGAACAATGACTACACTCACTGGGAAATGTACGCCATCGGCGGAAGCGCCGAACCCACCATCAATAGCCAGGGCAACCGATACGCCGCCCCGGTCAACCCCTTCGCGAAAGAGGTACAATATCTACGCGCTAGTCGAAAGGCCAATTTAACATGCATTTATGAACATAGATCAAGCCGGCCGTGTCGTAATTCCTTTGTCTTAGTGTAATCACAGAGCCAGTGACTTTAGGATCTTGATCTTGGTAATGCCTTTCCGCTAGCTAATGTAATATACGCCGGCGCTTCGAAATGCCGGCAAATTTTGACAAAACTTGGGCGAGAAGTGAGTTGTGATGGCCATATCATGCACAGGTGACCAAGAGGGTGGACACTTCTCAGAGCCGGTGGAAGAGCTGGAACTGGAGGTCGGAGGGAGATCTCCTGCTGAACGGCGCCTATTTCACTCCCTCAGGGGCCGGGGCATCAGGCAGCTATGCCCGAGCCTCGAGCCTCGGGGCCAAGTCTTCTTCCATGGTCGGGACCATAACCTCCGGCGCAGGCGCTCTCCCCTGCCACCCCAACCGCGCTTGCTAGCCCCGAAAAGGGGCGCTTTTCCAATTCTTGGTATATAATCATACGCCTAACGGTGTAAGTACAGAACACACCCGTTGTCTATACCCCAAAAGATACCGGAAAGAATTCACATTCGTTTCGAATGTCTTCAGACTGAGTGTAACAATTTACACCCGGTCAGTCGCAGTGGCCATCGATCACGTCCTCAACCTCGGCCTGCTTCAATCGGAAGGGAAAGCAAGCGCCACAGTTGGAGCCGGTGCGGAAGCGTTGTCCTCGATTTGCTGTCTCGCCATTTTCGTCTTTTGTCGACCCGTCCCACGTGCATGTGTCGTGTTCGTCTCCGTCTGTCCAGATACTAAAGTTTTCTTAGAGTGAATGTGCTCAAGAGTTCTGTAGTGTTTGTCGTTCATTAAGTACGATCAATAGTATGCAAAATGCTAGTGTGAATTCGAGCGTTGTAAGACAGTGTGATTTACAGGTAATGCCGCAATTAGCAATGCAAGCGATGCTATTTCAGCACTCTTTCTTTTATGGTTTTCGATTCATGCCCATCAAATCTACAATCTTTTCCACTCCCGCAAATTCGTTAGGTGTTAGGTGTAAATGTACAAGAAATCCTAAAACTTACATTCATAGTATAATGAAGTCATAAAGTTTTTATAAGTAGCACCAAATGTCCTCGAGGTAATATGAGACAATAACGGATGAAAAAAGAATAACGATCTACAAATATAATGGATATACTCGATCCAACAATATTTTACAAATTTCGAGATTTAGTTGCACGATTGGAAACTTTATAAATTCAATTGCACTTCAAGTATAAATCTCAAGATTTCTAGAGCGCGTGCGCTTATTCCTAAATTTTCTAGGGCGTGTGCGATTATGTAACTTTACGATAGAAACGATGTCGTTTAGGCTTAATTGTAGCTCATGTTAATACTCTACGACATCTAGGAGTCTAATTTGGTAAATTTTAAACTGTAAAAATTGGCTTGACAACTCTAAAAAACCCATGAAAAACTTTTAAAGCACAAATTAATACAAAGGCTGTCTTTTATATATTTAATGTTTTGGGGTCCCAAAAGCTACGTGCAGTTTCATTTGGCTGTGCAAAGGAAAAGAAAAAGTGTGGACATGACTTCACTTCACTCGACCAACTAGCAAACTGGGGGACCAAAATAAGGGCAAAATGAACTGTCTGAGCACGAAGGCTAACCTAACATGGCTGATTGCACGATTCCGGTTCCCTCGCACTTCAGTGTTGTAGTGCATCGCGAGGATTATCGAACCGCCTAATAGATCTGGAGGATGTACAGGACCATTACAAAAAAGAAGGCCTAAATTTATTGTGCGAATGCCAATTCAGTTTTAAACCTTTCGATGATTTCCAAATGTAGTCGTTCTGGCCAACTTTTGGCCGGATAATCCCTGATGTGGATGTTGACCATCCTAGGTGGCATGGCCGGTGCTGATGTGGATAATTATTTGCTTTTTCGAAAATTGAAGGAAAGGTCTTCACCAAATCTAAGCCAAACGTTAGTGGTCGGTGGGATTGAATCTTTCAGCCACATCAATTTGAACGAGGAGGAGGAGATTTGAATGGGGATTGGTTAGCCCGATTGACGCGGAAGATGTGGATGTCACATGACCATGCATGTGACCATGTCGCCCAACATGGCATGTGAGGGGTTTCGGTACCTGCATGACATGGACCCCCCAGCACATACATGATGTCCTCCCTCCCCAACGTTGCACATGGTACGTGATGATCGTGTGCGAATATGGTGGTGGAGATTGATGTGGACCTCTAGAAGCTCAGTAGCTTTTTGAGAGCTTTCTAGCCCCAGTATCATGCGTCATGGCATTTATGATGACATGATGCATGGGCCAACATGCCATATGTAGTCATTTCATGTGTAACTTTCCCAAGTACCCATTAAGTTATTTAGCATACCTATGGCTCACCCATTCGGGGATGTATGTACCTTCTGCCCCCTCAATACTAAGGGGATCATGTTTTTAGGGTGACATTCACGCGATGGCTGGATTTTGACCAAAGTCTAAAGCGTGAAAATATGCAAATAAGGAAACAAATAGGGGTCTAGAAAGATTTGAACTTAGGATCTCCTACTCTGATACCATGTGATTTTGTAGAACTGCTGCCAACTGTTTAAACTGCTAGATGAAGGTGTGGTTAAATATTTAATTATTCTAATAGATTTAGCCTTGAGGAACCATTGGCATTGGAGGCCCCCTCCACGCTCCTATTCAGTAATTACCTATTTAATATTGATCCAATTCAGTGAGCACATGTCTCCACATAAGCATAGTAAGTTCATGAAGCTCGGAGAAATAACCCAAATATAGGTTGTGTTCGTTTCCGGAAAAATATTCTCCCGGAAAATATTTTCCGGATTTTCCGGTGTTCGAGGGGGCGGAAAACGTTTTCCGTGAGAAAACGTTTTCCTTCCCCCCTCACAAAATAGCCTAAGTCTATGGAAAATGACTTCCGCTTCTTCAAAAGCGGAAATCATTTTCTGTAGCTGCTACTTCTTCTTCACTATTTTTTTTTTCATTTTTTTCGTTCTTCTCTTTCCTCAGCGCTGTGGCCGACGACCGACCAGTGGCGAGGCCCGAGCTCGCCGGCCTCAGGCGACCTCGCCCTCGCCGCCGTCTGGCGACGTCGGGCGAGTCTCAAGCCTCGCCCAGGTCGGCAGATCCGGCAAGGCCGAGCTCGCCCGAGGTCGGCGAGCTCCAACCTCACCAGATCCGGCGACCTCGAGCGCGCCCGAGGTCGCCAGACGTCGGCGAGGCTCCGGCGACCTCGGGCGAGGCTCGAGGTCGCCGGATCTGCTGATGCTTTGATTGTTTTGTTTTCTGGTGTTGCTGTTTGTGGGTTCTTCTTCTTCTTGTTCGTGGGCGAGGCTCCTCGGGCCTCGCTAGATCCGGCGACCTCGAGCCTTGCCTGAGGTCGCCAGACATCGGCGAGACTCCGACGACCTCGGGTGAGGCTCGAGCCTCGCCCATGTCGCCGGATCTGGCGAGGTCAGGCTCGCCGGATCAAGCGAGGCGGAGCCTCGCCACAGGCCGGCGAGGCTCGACCTCGCCGGAATCTGGCGAGCTCGAGCCTCACCGGCCTGGGGCGATGCTCGAGCTCGCCTCCGGCCGGTCGCCGGCCGCAGCCGTTGCCGGCGACCTACAGGAGAAGAAGCAAAAGAAAAAGAAAATATTAAAAATATTAAAAGTATTGCAAGAAGGAAAATCATTTCTATACCGAACAACGGAAAATATTCTCCGAGACTTTTTCAGATTTTAGCCGAACACCAGAAAATTGTGTTCCGGAAAAACATTTTTCAGGAAAATGACTTCCGAGAAAATATTTTCCAAAAGGAGAATATTTTTCGCCAAACGAACGGAGCCATAGATAAATATATTTATTCATATAAAGAGGTGTCTCGCCACACACACATATATGTATGCAAGAGGCAAAGACAAGTGTAATGGCTCATAAAAGAAGAAATTTCTAAAGCCGCACGGTAAGTGGATGCCAGATCGAGCGACCCGTGAATCAAGGAGCAAGTGGTGAGTGGGAATAAGTGATTCTGCTTCACAAAAAAGTTGGCTTGCATCATTATGCTCGGTACTGAAGATTGCCGAAAGATACAAATCTCATTTGGACCAAAGACGGGGCAAAATCAGATCGGAGTGAGACTTGTCAGCAACCTTCTTGCTGACATCTTTCTCATTTCCTTCTCTTAATCAATTCAATTTTCGTCCTTGTTCCTTGCAGGATTTTTGCTTAAGAACCAATAATTGTCAAAAGGGTACAAAAAAGGAAGAATAAGTTGGTACTTGAGAGGACACAGTTCAGGATCTACTTTGCCATAGAGAAGATGAAAGGAAAAGGGAAATAAAGAAGAAGAAGAAGAAGAAGAAGAGTACAGTCCTAATTGCAAGTCTTTCTGGGTACCAAGTCACTTTCATTTCATAATTTATCTGCTTTCCAATAGCTGCAAAAAATATGTGAAAAAATACATCCGGTTGTCTATGTTGTCTAAACTTCTCCGAAGTTATAGAATTTGTACACAAATTGGGTTCGCAAGAAAATGTACTCACCATCAAACTGAGCACAAAGACGTCCAGGGTCTATGCAATCAACCCCGGTTGGCGCAGGAATGCTTTGTGCCTCCTGTGTTAGTAGAAAGAAGATTGTTCTCGAAAATCAGCCACACATGCTCTCAAAGTTTTGCTCTCGAGGAAGGCAGAATCGAATATATTTCCAGAGAGAAATTCGAAATGACCCCGAAATATGACAATACTTACATGTTCATGTATTGCCAAGTGATGCAGTTCACCACAACAGCATGAATATAGACTTTTTATGCTCATAGATTCGTCATTTTATCGAACGATGCTTCAGGGTTTTGTCAAGCATTTCCAAAAAGTTTGACAATAAATGATGCTTGCTATGCAAGCAATTGAGCAACGTTTGCACAATTTGTTCAATCGCAGATATAATCACTCTCTTCTAGACCCTATTGAAAGATGATGTCTATGAAAGCCCAGTTTGCTGATTTTCTTCACCTAACAAAGTTGCAGGAAAAGCAACACTAGCAATTGATCCCGACATTTTCTCTGGCCTTTTTGTTCTTTCTCCTCCTCCATCACCACTTGAGCATCCACTGTACAAAGATAAATTGCACAGTATGTTATTTTGTACGGAGTGACGCTGTACAAGAAATAGCCATTACAGTAGTATAAAAAGCTTACTCTTATGGGTCGGACTGGAAAATGTAACCAGCCTCGGCAAAATGGGATTTTACTTGTGCGAGAGCCCTGTAACGGTGAGAGATCTTATTCTTCTCTTCCTTGGGCATCTCTGCGTACCTATAACAAACAGAAACAACATATTAAAGTATGGTAACATAATATGACAGTTAATATAGGCAAAACCGCAGAAACCAAAGAGGACTCGGACATAAAACTTACGTTTGCTCGTAGCCGTCGGGTTGGAAGATTGGATCCCATCCAAAATCAGTGGGTCCCCTTGCAGGTACTATCTTCCCCTGAGATGGCCACAAGAGTCAGATATCAGTGCAATCAACCAATCCACAACTAGAAATTTCTTCCGACTCAGTGGAGCAGACAAAAGACAGCAATCAATGCATATGAAAAGCTCCATCGTAATTGATGAACAAAACAAATCGATTAAGAATTAACCATGGATATCATCGAAAATCCCAAGCTCATTCTTCTCATGTCAAGAGCATTTCTCGACATTAATGTAGAATTATAATCAGCAACTTTACAATCCTGGGTTTACCTTGCAAAAACTAAGGATCTCACTCGAATAAACCTAAAATTGAACTTAATCTCATCACGGAATCCTTTCAGTTACCGAAAACAAGGGAAGTCACAAACTGTTGTAGTAACTGTAATATAACTAAGTTCTACATATTCTGTCGAGTAGCTAAGATAAGAGGAATAAGGGCACGGAAGAAAAATTGTGATAAAAGAATTCTAATGTATGATGGTGTCCTCTACAAGAGCAACTTACTGGAGTCTTTCCAAGAAAAGTGATTGGTTCAGCATCGGGTCCATTCATGAAAGAAAATGCGCACAAAGCATAAGCTGATTTATCCTCATATGCCATCAACATATTGTTGAGACCTATAGTAGTTAGACAAAGAGGGCATAAAATAAATGTATGAGCACTTCCGAGAGAACAGGGGCTAAATAATTCAGAAAAGAGCAAAGGAAAAAAGATACCTTCATGACCAAGCTTCTGCAGAAACCACTTGCTGCGTGATTTATAATAAATTAGATATTATCACAGAAAGAAAATAAGATATTTTAGTAACCCAATTAAAGAACAATTCATTGTAACATGTATAGATGTTAAATAGTTTAAAGCATTAAAAATCTGATATTTACTGGCATTGGATATCGAAAGAAAATTAAGTGTCTAAGTAGAACTTTAGAAGATTCTGCATCTACATATGGAAGAGGTCATCAAAAACAAAACTAGTTGCCTGGATGGGGCAGCTTCCCCAAGATAGACAAAATTGAGGGAGGCTGGCAAGGCCCTCCTGAATCTGATTGAAGCTTCAAATTAATGACTTGAAAAGTGATTGAAGCATTTTTGTTGTCTGGTGAAGATTTATCCATTTGGAGAGCATCTCATGCAAGAAGACGAGGGATACCAGCAGTGACTAGTTGATTTACTCTCAAACATTCAAAATCCAATTATTGAAAAAATTCTTATCTTCAATCTGGTTTACTGTCCAACAAGAACAGGATAACTCCAACATTTAAGAGAATGAGGTAAGTAACCTATGAAAGCAATAAAAAAATTTCACTTAATCAGCCATTCATATAACTTGCCTGACCAGAAAAGGAGAAATAAGCTAAAAGAATAACAAACAACTTTTCTCAGCTAGATTTCTCAGAGAAGTGGCCCTTGGCGGTAGGAGAAAGACTAGTAACATATAAAAATGTCAGATAAATCATATGTGTGAAGATAAGGGGAAAGAAGGAAGTGAACATCTAAAATTGACACTCTTCAAGGTAACCCTACTCGCTGCATCCAGGGCCAACTACAATTCTGATTGAGGTTGAGAGTGCGAACAGCATCTTACACCGCATCACTTCCAACTCCTCTAAGTACATAGTAGAATAACTAATGGCTTCCCGGGTATGTTTACCAGAAGCAACCCTAGTATGTCGGAGTAAGAGTACAGACAACCACTTTTTTTCTTCTGACAAGTTAGCTGGCCAGAAGAAGCTAGTATATATGTGTGCAGATGAAGGGAAGAAAGAAGTGAAAATCTAGAAACCATGCTTTTTAAGGTTATTCATCACGCCAAAGGTGCATGAGAGGCCTATTACAATTTCAATTAAGGGCAGAAGTGCATGTAGCTTCTTAGACACCCATACCAGAAGTGACATTTCCTCAAAGTGCACGGTAGAGTTGGTACACCCCACAAAATCCGAGGGGCTTAAGCATCCTATACTTGAGAATGCAAGTGCACTGATTGAGGTTGGCTCAAGGTTAGTAGAGTTGAGAATTCAAAATTAATCCATGATGTTGGGGGGGCATATAGGCCATCTTGTCAGATGTCAAGAATTTAAACTATCCTCTCAAATGGATCGGTATGGAAGGGGAAGGCATCACTGATAGAGAAACACACAAGCTCATCAGTCACGCTAGTCGTGAAGACTAATGAAATTATGCAGCAGTCCTGTATCAGTACTTCATAGTCTATACACCAGCCAACAAATATACTTAAGCGTCTCTTTGACCCTTGCTTCAAGAACTTGTCGATATTTTTTATATACTCATGCCTTAGCTTTTGGTAGAACTCATTATCATAGCATCCCTGTTAAATCCAATTCAAAATTTTGGGCTCAAGGCCCTATAAACATTATCCAGAGGAGCTATGAAACAGGTGAACAAAGTTCAATCATCCAAAGGAGCCCCGCCCTTTCACTTCCCTCACTCTTCTTAGGAATGTTGATGGAGACTGCCTGAGCTATATACAAATAGAGGCCTGCAAAGTGAAGGATAAATTTTCTACATCCAGCATTATGAGTTAGGATAATTGTGTGAGCGCAAACTGCAAAGTTCTTTCCAAGCATAATACGAGATTTGACCATCATCATACTTGTATAAAGACAAAGGATATTCATGAAACATCATTTACAACTCATAATAGGCATTAGGACATCAATGTCATTTTGTTCAACTCTCAACCAATGCATTCGCGACCTTTCAATGCACTTCATCGTGATTTATCAGTGTATCTAGAGAACTTTGACCTGCTCTTCTTTGATTATACTCAGGTTAATAGTTTCCAGTGATCCTGACCATTTGATAAAAATTCATTTCACAATCTGAGATGAACAAATCTTAGGGGAAAAACTTGGAACCTAGAGACAACTACAACCAATAACTACAGCCAACCATTTCACTCTTTCGCTTTAGTCTGTCACTTGGGAATTTTTGGCGTGGAGAAGTCAGAATATACCTTTGTGTCAGCTATTGACATTTGTTAAAAAAGATTAAAAATCCCTCAGTCCTCATACAACCGTAGCCCACACCAACTCAGTCCCAGAGCCATAAAAAAAAGATTTCTGAGAGAAGTTGCCTAAATTTGAGGGCAAGGATACTAATTTGATGGTAGTTGATACACCGATCAAGGATGCATATGTTATGTCCTTGGCCCTTAAGTACTCTAGAAGGGGTTAATACTTTCCTTGTAGGATAGAAAGTAATAGAGGTGAAAGAATTAATAGGTCAATGTTGGACAGAATTCTTTCCGACAATAGCAGTAACTATTTTTGAAATTTGTTCTAACAGCATAAGACTGAGACTCGATTGATGCTTGATGTATAATATGAAGTGAATGACCTCACATAACTAATCATAAAGGCAACCATCTTTCTTGAGTAGCACTACAACACCCTTTTCACTCCTCTCTAATATGACCCTCTTTCAGGACCTGTTTGGGTATTGTCCTCCGTAGAACAATCATTGGCAGAGTGAAAACAGGTAATTATGGTTCAGAGAGAAACTGGCTAAAGCTCCCGAATGAATAAAATTTTGCGAAGATGTTGAGATAGTTCAGACTGGTTTCTGGAAGGGAATAGAATGTATCCCAATCTGCAGCCGTTCAGCCGGTTCTCAATGTCTGTCAGAAGGTCAAGGTAGCTTAGAACTTTCAATTTCTCTTTCTCTCTGTGTTTCCGATCTGATTGATTGTTTCAGCCGTACAATAGTTTGCTCCTCCATCAGTTAATATGTAAACACTACTTTGCAGAAATGACTACTGCAGTAGCAATAATTGACACCGGTGCCCTAATTAGATATAAAATCAAGTATAAACTTATCATACTAAATATCCCAATTTAACAAAGTGAAACTTTGATCCTACAATAAAACGATCAGCAGTATAACCCCTCAATTTGCTCGGATGCCCAACTCAAGATAACTAACTCCAAGACAGTCCACAGTTACATAGTCATTGACTTAAAATCGAGGAGAAAAAATAAGAAAAGCACCAAACAAGTGCTGATTTACAGACACAATGTACCATCACAACTATTCTCATATTATTCAAGAAATTTTTCCAAGCTAATTGTTCACTGCTAGTTAAAAAAGGAAGCAATAGAGCAGAAAAGAAAAGAAATCAAGCAGAGCACCAAAACAACCAGATACTTAGAAAAGAACAAGAATCAGAAACAAGACCTCACATAGCAGAGCAACAGCAAAAGAAAGCGACTTACATGTAAGGCCCTGCGCATCAATTCGAAAACAAATCCATCAGAACAATCTGTCATACGCGAATTACTCACCAAGGCATCAAGCACTCAAAAAATTGAGACGTACCCGGAAGACCCTTCAGGGCATTGAAGCAGAGGCAAGTGTCTTCAACCAGCACAGGTCCACTGACCTTCCAATTCAAAGAGCCAATCAAGTCCACTGGACAAATACGGAAAAGCACGTCACAGAAACCAAAAAAAATGAGAAAAGGGCAAGTACCTCAATAGCAGCCAATCGAGCCTTCTCTCTGGATATGTCTTCAGGCTCTCCTTGCAATTCAGGCACTTAGAACGACAAAACAAAAGACACCCAGTTAAGAGTTTCTTAGAAAAAGGCGAGTAATAGAAGATCAGCGACAGAGAGAGAGAGAGAGAGAGAGAGTATACAGTCGAGCTTGAGGGACTGAAAGGGGATGGATTGACCCAAGATGGAGCGGACTTCTTCGAGCTTCTTGGCGTTGCCGGTCACGAAGGTCACCGGCCGCGACAGCACCGGACCAGAGGCTTTCACGGCCGCCATGCTTTCCCGCCTAGCTTTCTCGCCGCGAGAGAGTCACGAGGTCGTGGAGGGTTACGGGTACACCGATCGAATTGGCTTAAGATGGTGAACTCTTCCCTCCACTTCCACACTTTTCTTTTGTACTTGAAACTATGGCACCAACCAGGTTTAATCGAATCGTGCACTTTTCTTTGTACTGGTTAGGGGTTTCGACCAAAACAATAAAAAATGGTTATGGGTGATCGGTTGTCGTCGATTCCCACTCTTGCATAGAGAATCCGACCAGAAGTATCGGTTCCCAATTTATCGAACTGGAACCGGCCCATCCGGTCCTGAACAGGATTGGGCCAGACCAGTTCTGGGATGGGTCTAGGAATTGATAGTAGTATTTTTTCTTTTTCTATCCCCTCTAAGACTGCGGGTGTTGTTGCATAGTCTAAACTCACTGGAGTTTGCCTCAGTGACCACCCTTCCTACTTGGGAAGGAGAGAGTGGTGAGTTCAATTCCCCATCTTCTCAGGGAGGTTAGGAATGAGGACGTTTAGTTTCAAATTTGGGTTTCAACTCCCATGTTCCCACACCTTGCAACGAGGCATGACAAAAGTTTGAAAGTGAGTTGAGATTAGAGTAAAACAGACAAATTTTTTTTTTTTTCGTTCTTTAGTGCTTTGGATCTTTAATCAATGAAAATCTTGGTGGAAAGACGCTAAAGTTGTGATAAAAGTGATCAAGATTCATTAACTTGCTAATAAATAAAAAATGTTGGTTCGGTCCACACCTGAACTTGGGAACCGGACCGACAATCACTGGTTCCAAATTGTAGGATTTGGGAACCGCCTAGGACCAGTAGGTCCGGTCCGGTTCTAGTGCTCACCCCTAAAACTGGTGGAGTAGCTAAAGACCCGAGTTTGATCTACTCATGGAAATGTATGCAATACTAGTTAAATTCTATCAATAATATACGAAGTTGTGTCCAAGAAATCTTGTGTAGTAGCTAAAGACGCATGATTATGCGAAGTTTAAGCACGACAAAGACTTGAAAGATGTCGACGGCGTTTAAGGAGCCCTTGAGGAGTTGTGGAAGAGTGAGTAGCATTTTTGAAAGAAGGGTTGAGGATATAACTCGAACTTAAACCCAGCCAATCAAACCTAACCTCAAATTAAAGCAGTAAAATAGTCTTTCACATTGAATGTCAGAAAATCACAAAAAGAAGTCCACCTTGGACTTTTAAAATGTTTAAAATGGGAAAATGGATACCATAACTGTTATAACTTTCATACAATGTTTATTTAAATGTCATAACTTTTTTTTTTTCAATCACTTAACTGTCATATATGTACGACGCTCACTTGAGTGCCATAATTTAAAAAAAAAATGTTCACCATAAGTGCTATGCTACGTTGGATTTCCGGCATTTAGGTGAACATTTTCAAAAAATTGTGGCACTCAAGTCATTAATTGAAAGTTAATGCCATAAAGCACTCGGAACTCAAGAAATTTCTAATCCATAGGTTTCACAAAATAGTGAGCATATTTGCAAAACCAACTCATCGTATTGAATTCACAGCCTAACTCTAAGCTTATAATAACATCAGACTTGGAGGAAGAGGGGAAATCTTCAATGTCGTTTGATCTTTAATTGTGAGAATTTTCAATTCGCGAGAGTGACGACTTTACAAGGTTGTGCATAAGTTAACGAGTTACGTCCAGACAAAATTAATCATTAACATTTGATTGGCGTGAAAATCTTGAAAACATGTGTAATTCATCTGTGATTGACTGGTTGTTTCGCGAGAGAGTTGTATGAGACTAAATATTGTGAATTATTCAGTGTAACAGGTGTTGAGGAAACTTCCTGATTTTGTAGTTGACAAAATTATCTGCGATCACTACAAAAAAACATGGATTTTGCCACGGAAATTTGCGACGGGGAATTTTTCGTCGCTAATTTGCGACGGAATTTGCCACGAAATAAAAATTCGTCGCGAATTAGCGACGGAAAATAAATCCGTCGCTAATTCAGCGACGGATTGGAAAATGCCCTTCATTTTTGGAATCCGTCGCAAATTTGCGACGGATTGAAAAATGCCTTTTTATTTTTGGAAATCAGTTTCAAATTCGCGATTATTTTATTTTTTCGCGACAGAAAATCACTTTCGCACCTTTGTCGCTGAATCCGTCGCTAAATTTAGCGACGAACTCTGAATTTAGTCCCCCGCCAATCTCTCAAATCTGCCCGCCCTCACCCCAGTTTTTCTCTCTCTCTCTCTCTCTGCTATTCCTCAGAACCCCCCCCCCCCCCTCTGCCAAACACCTCTCCGTCGCTCCCTCCTCCCCTCCGCCAGCCATGATGGCCACCCTCACCGCCACCGCCGCCGCCGCCGTTGCCTCCTCTTCCGTCGCCATCCGCCCGTTCCGCGCCCACAAGCCCTCCCGCGCGCCCCGCCGGGATCCGGTGCTCCGTCACCGAGGGCCCCGCGATCTCCCAGCTGAGGGCCGCCGGCGGGGGACTGGTTGATTGCGTGGTGGTCGGGGGCGGGATCAGCGGGCTTTGCATCGCCCAGGCGCTCGCCACGAAGCACTGCGACAGGGCCCCCGACGTGGTCGTCACCGAGGCTAGGGACCGCGTCGACGGCAACATCACCACCGTCGAGAGGGACGGCTACCTGTGGGAGGAGGGCCCCAATAGTTTCCAGCCATTCCGAGATTTGTACGTTCCGTCGGTCCCATTCCGAGATTTCTTTCCATCGGTCCCATTCCGAGATTTGTACGTTCCGTCTACTCTAATTTTGTGACCTTTTTATTGAAGTTCTCGAGTATGTTTGTGTGTTAACTGATAGATACATCGTCGGATTATTGTAATGGTTGTCGTTGCTCTTGTTTCGTTAGAATTGGGTATAGTCTTCATCGAGAAATGGAGATGATGTTTGTGAGTTTATAGGGTAAATGGGTCAGGATACGGTGCTTTGCAAGTGTTTGATGAATGACCCAGTTCTCCAATTTGCGAATAGACGTGCAATTTTGGACTTTTTTTATGCTGTTGCGAATAGCGGGGCGAGGCTCGAATCGGCGTGAGTTCTTTCTTGGGTGTTCTTCCTTTTTTTTTTCTGGGGGAAAGGAAGAAAATGGAGAGGACAAAGCTATCGTTGGATAGATGCTCAAGAACACTCAGACTTCACTTGCAGAAGGTAGTGCTTCATGTGTTATCTTTTTTGAAGCTTTCTTTGGATAGATGCTCATTCTCTTGCTTGTCACTTCAGAACAAGAACGCAATCGCCAGTTGACAAAGCCTGTAACTGCTGAAAAGGTAGGATATAGTTCTATGTATTGTTGATATTCGCATTGAGGTTGGCAATGAGAACCTCGCCAGAGTACAGTTGTGCTGTTTTTGTGCATATTGGTCATCACTTTTGTTTGTTTGCAGATGGAAACAAGAAAAGCAGAGCTAGACTAACCTTGCAACTAATCTCAAGAGGCAGAAGCAAGAGTATGAGGCTATTATATCCTCATCAGAGACTGATTTGCATGAAAATGAAGCGGAATCAAAGTGGCAGGAGCTAAAAGATACTAAATCATCGGTCATTGATGCAACCCAGCGATTAGAAGGTGGAAATTTTGGATTGATCGGAATATTGTTGTCTTGAATCTTTAGATTTTGTTCGCGCTTTTGATTGAAACAAAAATTATCAGGAATTAATAGAAGTACAGAGGAAACAAATAATCAAATCAAAAAGATCAAAGATGAGATGGCAAAGTTGAAGGTATTATTTAATTTTTTCAGTGTGGACTAAATGTTGGTATTCAACTCTTTGGTTTCTTCTCAAATGATTGCTCGAATGCAGGCTTTGGAGGACACCTATGAGAAAACACTTCAGGATGAAACTAAAGAACTTGAACAACTCTTTAGCCGGAGGAATACTCTTATAGCTAAAAAGATGAGTACTCAAAAAAGATAAGGAACTTGGGCCCGTTATCTTCTGATGCTTTTGAGACGTATGTTCCCTTGTCTAACTGTGAAAATGTTTTGACTTTGAAAATGCTTTTGAGGCGTATGTTCCCTTTGCTACTGAATTTTAATTTGGTTTCCACTATTGAAGCTCATCATACCTCATTTTATATGTTTGAGATTATAGGTATAGACGGAGGAGCATCAAAGAGTTGCAGAAGATGCTTCACAGATGCAACGAGTAGCTCCGACAGTTTAGTCATGTAAAAAAAGAAAGCACTTGATCAGTACGTGAACTTCACAGAGCAAAGGAAGTGAGCATCTCACATGGACCGTGTCTTTAGTTTTGTTCAGTATTTATATGATGGAGATTGTCGCTAAAAGTCGGATATTCTTTTTTGATTCATTTATGTCGTCATTGTTTATTGTGCAAGATTAGTTATTATGCAAGGTTATTTATTCTCTCAGTATGTGTACTATCAAGAAAAAAATTTATGTCATTCTTGTGGAAAATGTAGATGAATGTATTTCATTTTCATATTATTATAATATTTTGATGTTATTACGTGCTTAATCAATGTTAAATATAAATTTCAGAAATTAATTTTGCTTTTAATTAAGTTTAAAATCGAAAAATAAAATAAATGATTTTATCATACGATCACAAATTATAAAAGTTCGTTACAAAAATAAAATTTCATCGCTAATTTCGTCCCTAAACGATATTCGTCGCAGAGTTCGTCGCTAAAGAATTAATAAAAAATCGTTGCTAAATTTGTTCATGAATAATGTTCATGGCAAAAGTCAAAATTTTTCGTGACAAATTTGCGACGAATTTTGTCACGAATAAGTTCGTCGCAAATTACAAACAAAAAAAATTCGTGGTAAATTAGCGACGGATTGGAAAATGCCCTTTATTTTTGGAATCCGTCGCAATTTTTGTGACGGAAAAATTTTGCGACGAATTATTTGCGACGGATAAAGTTCGTGGCTAATTTGCGCGACGAATTATTTCCGACGAATTTTGCGACGAATTTTTTTCCGTCACAAAATTTTGCGATGCCGAATTAGTGACGGAATTTTTTCCGTCGCAAATTCAATTAGCGACGGATTTTGCCAAATTTTTCGTCGCAAAATTCATCGCTAATCCCTTGTTTTTTTGTAGTGGATTAACTTGTAAATCTGATATATATTCTGAAGTATTTTGATCCAAGTAAATATATTCTGAAAGTAGTAACTTTAATACTTCAAGAGAACTTGACTTTCTGGATGCTCAGACTCTACGAGGTTCAGAACGAAAACTTCAGACTTTACAAGTTTCAGAACGAGAAGTTCAGACTCTACTAATATAGACACTTAGACTTTATATTAAGGTGTCAAAGATCTTCTGACTCTAATTTTAAAGGACTTATTTGTTACTGAAGACCTACGCTGACTTTGAACAAAAAGCAAGAACCTAAAATTCTTCAGAATCAGAATTTTTCGGAACGAAACATAACAGCTGGTGATCTGGCTTGGATTTCACAAAAGAAAAGTTTTGATTGACTCAATCTCAGCCTAATTGATTGACAATCAAACATTACGCCCAGGTGTAAGAAATCAAGGGTTTAATCGGAAGGAGTGATGGCCAAGAAAAATGATTGCTTGAGGCTAGGTATCAAACTAGAACAAGAAGCTTGGCTTAAGAGGACAAGTGGGGTGCGGCCAAGCTTACTCCTTCATAAGCCAAGTGAGAGGAGAGTCTGAAGAGATATTTTGGTGAGAATATCTCCCCCTATTTAACACCAATTATAAATTAATAAAATGGTTAACATTACTTAACAAAAAATTGACCAATAATACTACCCACTAATTTCCTTCTGTAGAATGACTTCACAAAAGGTAAGGTTGATACAACTCTATTTATTAAGAAAAAAGGCAAGGATTTCTTAATTGTTCAAGTTTATGTGGATGATATTATATTTGGATCCTCTAATGAAGTGCTTTGCAAGGAATTTTCAAAGTGTATGCAGAATGAGTTCGAAACGAGCATGATGGGAGAATTGACATTCTTTCTTGGACTACAAGTGAAACAGACCAAGGATGGTACTTTCATCTGCCAAGAAAAGTATGCTAGAGAAATTGTGAAGAAGTTTGGAATGCAAAACAGCAAGAAAACAGACACTCCAATGTCTCATTCGTCCAAATTGGACAAGGATGAGAATGGTAAACAGGTTGATTAGAAGGTGTTCATAAGCATGATTGGTTCCTTGCTATATCTTACTGCATCTCGACCAGATATATTATTTAGTATCTGTATGTGTGCCAGATTTCAATCTGATCCAAAGGAATCACATTTTACAGCAGTCAAAAGAATAATCAAATACATTGGCACTTATCCAATGTTAGGTCTTTGGAATTCAAAAGAATCAAGTTTTAGACTTATTGGTTATTCTGATGCTGACCTTGCTGGATGTAAAGTTGACAGAAAGAGTACCACAGGAACATGTCAATTACTTGGAAATATGTTAGTATCCTGGTACTCAAAGAAGCAGGGCACAGTTGCGCTTTCTATGGCAGAAGCAGAATATGTGGCCTTGGGAAGTTGTTGTGCTCAAATTCTGTGGATGAAACAACAATCGCAATATTTTGGAGTCAACGAATCAAATGTTCCAATCAATTGTGACTATACTAGCGCTATCAATCTGACCAGAAATCCGATTCTCCATTCACGAGCCAAGCACATTGAGATCAAGCATCACTTCATCAGAGATCATGTTCAGAACGGTGATGTGAATATTCAATTCATTAATTCTAAAAATCAATTAGCTGATATATTCACAAAACCTTTACATAAATCTTCATTTGAATTTATTCGTAATAAATTATGCATTACTTACCCTTCTACTTGAAGATTTTCTAAGACATGAACTTTTCAGACTCAAGCCATTTTAGTCTGAAAGTCATCTTCAGACTCAAATACAAGGTAATATTCTCATTTCAAATTTTGGCGGGCATATTTTATTTATGGCAGGAATAACTGGCCATATCCAGTTGCATATTAATTTTTGGAAGAAAATCAGGTACGCATTCTAATTAATTGAGTGTGCTCGAATTATTTCTATTTATTCATTTATAATCACAACTCTTTTTATAACCTTCCAATATTAGTTTCTCTTTCTTAAAATCGTCTCCCTGTCAAACCCCTAATGGAAACCCAACTTTTTGCTTCCAACTCACACCTCCTCGGAACGAACTCCTTCCCCTTCTTCTTCTTCTCAAAGATCAAACCTTTCTGTTCCAAGGATTTTCGCACGAACACAATGCCTTTCAAAAGACGTTCATCGCGGATTCTCAACAGAGACTCAAAGTATTCAGGACCAGCAGAATACATGGAAGTCACTGATTCATCAGAAACAGAATCGGAGAAGCAGACTTCTTCGAAAGCCACTCCTCAAGCATCTTCTGCCAAAAACTACTGTTTGCTGTCAGAAAGGATAGAGAGATTCCAGGAAGCAAACCCGAAGAAAACCTTGGAGATAAGTCCGAAGCACCATCTACAAGAAGAAGAGAAGCAAGGGAGAAAGAACAAAGAAGCAAAGGGAAAGAGAAAGCCAGGGAAGAGACCATCTCAACAAGTCCTGTACAAGTGTACAGAAAGCGTAGAAGACTTCTCCTCAGGGATGAAGAGGATGCATCAGAAGGTCTTGACTCAGGACAAACTGCTAGTCAGGAACATGTTGAGAAAGAACAAATGTCTTCAGAACCTGCTGACAACGTTTCAGAACCTGTTGCTAACGTTTTAGAACCAACACCCGAGGAATCAAGCTTAAGACAACAGGCACTCAGCATAATTCCTATGGTGACTGAAGAAGGTCCATCTCCATAACAACACCCTGATCAAATGACGACAGAAGATGTTGTTGCAGAATATGCATGTAATCAAGGGGAGATTCCGACCACAAGAGAAGGTGAATTTGAACATTCTGCATCTGAACATGTCCAGAGACAACCATCAGAGGACAGGACAATACTTCAACTTCTGCTCGAAATTAAAGACAAACAGTCAGTTCTGGAAGAAGATATGAAGAATCTTAAGATCATTGTTGAGGACCACAGTAAAAATCTTCGTTTTCAAGTAGAACAAGATAAAGTAGATCTTGAAAAGGCCATTCAATGTTCAACCAATCTGGAGCAAGCTGTTGGTCAATGTTCTCTTAGAATCGATGACACAATTCAAATCCTGGAAAATTTTCAACTCGTTCGCACACCATCTAAGAAATAGCCTGCCCTATCTCCCTATTGCTTAAAACTTTGTTTTCTGATGTTTAACTTGAACTATTACCTTCAGTTAGTATGATTTGTATAACTGACATTTATCTATTTTTGATCATTAATTATCCAGTTTTTGCCGCTGACAAAAAGGGGGAGACATAATACATTTTGCAGGAAGCATGATATCTTTATGCAGACAGGGATGCATGAACAGGTTATTGGAAAGCAGATTATTGGATGGACTTGAAGAAAAGAAAAGGACACAGATCTTATATTTTGCACTTACATTTATTCGTGCCTTATGATCTTAAAAGTTATTTATATTCATTTTATTCTCAAATCTTATCAAATTTTTTGATCTGCACGGAAGTTTTGTCACCATTAAAAAGAAGGAGATTATTGAGGAAACTTCCTGATTTTGTAGTTGACAAAACTATCCATGATTAACTTGTAAATCTTATATGTACTCTGAAGTATTTTGATCCAGGTAAATATATTCTGGAAGTAGTAACTTTAATACTTCAAGAGAACTTGACTTTCTGGACGCTCAGACTCTACAAGGTTCAGAGGGAAAACTTCAGACTTTACAAGTTTCAGAACGAGAAGTTCAGACTCTACTGATATAGACACTCAGACTTTATATTAAGGTGTCAAAGATCTTCACACTCTAATTTTGAAGGACTTATTCGTTACTGAAGACCTATGCTGACTTTGAACAAAAAGCAAGAACCTGAAATTCTTCAGACTTAGAATTTTTCAGAAACGAAACATAACAACTAGTGATCTGGCTTGGATTTCACAAAAGGAAAGTTTTGATTGACTCAATCTCAGCCTAATTGATTGACAATCAAACATTATGGTAAGTATATATCACAACGGATAAAACACTACTTATGGAAGCCAGGATTTTGGTTGTATGAGCGACCAGATTCAGTGGGATTCTGATTTTGTCAACCAACGGCTACTCAATCCATTTTATACAAATATGTCCAAGGTGAAGATTGGAAGATGATCCTCTGAAGGCTGTCCAACGGCTAGTTTGGAAGTGGAGGAGTATAAAAGGAGATTAATGAGGAGCAGAAGATAAGAATGAAATCGAGAATCAACAAGTCCAAAGTCTGAGTTCATTTCGATTCTACTACTTGTCTTTCCTGAGCCAAATACTGAGATTTTGAGGGATACTCTGTAAAAGTGATTGTGTGAGATAGAAAGTTCTATCATTCACCGAGTGATATCACTCAGATCTTGTAATCCCTTTGATCACATAGTGAAATCCAGTCAGTAGGCTGTCAGCGTGGGAGAGTGGACGTAGGCTTGATCTAAGCCGAACCACTATAACTTCTTGTGTGCAGTTGTTTCTATCCCTAATCTCTTTTTATATTGTTTGCACTGTACACTAGCACATTCAGAATCTGATTATTATTCAGACTTTATCGATTATAAAGTCATTTCCGCTTTAAATTCTGCAAATTCACTCAAATCACCTATTCACCCCCCTCCAGGTGATACTTGCTAGGTACATCAACAGTGACTCAGAAAACACTGAAATTGTTTAAGTAACTTAAGTGCAATTATATTCTCCATTGGAGCGCGTGATCTATTGTGGAAACCCGATGTTTGATTTATTTCGTATTTTCTTTATTATTATATTCGATTATTTGTTTCGAAACACTATATATTTACCGATTAGCTCCCTAAAATATAAACCAACATTCAAATGATTCTCATATTTGGCCCCTTTGCAATATCCACACATCCCCATAAAATAAAATGATTATGTGATGGTTCAATCGAATTTGAAAATGAGGATATAAAACGTGCAGAAATCCATGTAATTTTAATAGTAGAAGCTGGAGTCCCATTAGGACCATATCTTAGTACTCATATAGAAAAGAACTGATTCAACTTTTTTTTATTCAAATAACATACTACATCACTTTTCACTAACCAAAATGATGAAACCTAACGGAGGCAAAAATAAGAGTTTAGGCATTGCAGCAACAATATTGGTAAAGTGGCTCAAGACATCTCCCTCCATTATATCCATAACGTCGGCAAGCGCCATCGCAGTCGGGCAGATCTTCACATTTCCCTTGGCAGACGTATTTTGCATCCCCTGTAAAGCAAAAAATACAAGAAGAAGAAGATTATGGTATATCTCTTTAAGAAAACATTTGATAGGATGCAACTATGAGCAGATATATTCTCTGTAGAGTCAAAAATATAACTGGGCAAAAATAGATAAGAAATGGGAAAACTTTTAATATTTCATGATCCGTTTGTTTGAAGGAAAACTGTTTTCCAGAAAATGATTATCCGATTATCCGATGTTTAGACGGCTAATTGATTTACGGAAAAGTTTTTTCATGGAACGAAAACAACAAGTTTAGATCATGGGAAGACGATTTCTCCTTCTAGCAAGAAGGAATTCACTTTCCCTAAACTACCAAACAAATGAAAACTAATCAATTTTATTAAAACGATTCCCATGAAGAAAATTTTCCTTTATCACGTAGTTTTCGATAAAACAAACGCACCCTCAATTTTGATTTTCATTTCCGAAGCAATTTTTCATTTTTATTTCTCACCTACTTTCATGCATTTATATTTCCAAAGTCCAAAAAACATACGGAGAGGATGTGTGAGTTTGGACGATGCTGAATCATGTCATTATGGAAAAGCACAAGAAAAATATATCATAAAAAAGTTTCAGTAGTCATGAAAAATTACCGAAACAGAAGAGACAGGCCAGGAAAATGGCATAGATAATTGCGATCAGCATATGCTTGGAGACAAGTCGAGAAGCCATCTTCTTCAGTGTGCTCGCCTACGGATGGAAGCTGCTTGTTTTTATAGGAGTTTTCATGCGTTTTGAATACTAAATCGCCTTCACTTTATGCGTAGGAAAACGCTTGAAGGAGACTATCGGATATTATTCACTTTAATTGCAGATTTCATGAATCAAGAATTCATGACATTGACATATCTGGAGAGATTGTCAAATACGTTTGGGTGTGAGCTTTCAATTAGGAGATTCTCTTACCCTCTTTGTCTAAGTGTACTTACCATATCTTTTTGTAAACGACGTGTCAAATTGCGTGGTTAAGATCAAGTTGGTATTTAAATACTAAATAGAAGCCCGTCACAATCAGGAGATTTTCTTACCATCTTTGTAAAGTGTATATGACACCCTGGATTTTAACTCACTTGACGTATTGTCCGCTTTGGCCCATTCCATACCAAGCCTTACGGTTTTGTCCTTTGGCGTACAAGCAGATACTTTCTTAGGAGGTTGTCCATTCTAGTAACACTGTAGCCTGGGTTCGCTTAACTTTGGAGTTCCAAAGTAAAGCTTGCCGTTACGTCAAAAGGCTCCTCCGTGAGTTCATTCCAGTTTTTACATATATATCTCAGGATCGCTCTTCCCTTGTTCGATGCACAGTTCAGTTCATTCCTACCCCCTTCGCCATCCTAGAAGCCTACCAGGAGCCCCTCCTTGTCCAGGCCCTCTGGCCTCGGCGACCACTCTCCGTCCTCGTCGGACTGGGTCGTTACAGGCCCACCAACTTCTGCATGGTTCATCCCCCGAACCATACACCTCCTGGGCTGGCCAATTTTGTGCGAATGTATGGACTGAAATCTGAGTTGCTTGAAGTGCCTCTTAATGTCTCTACATCTTTAAAAGACAAGATGTTGTTAACATTGATGTATAAAGATTGTAAGATCTCTATAGGTGGAACGGATCAGATGATAGATTTGGTAGTATTAGTTATGTATGACTTTGATGTCATCATAGGTATGGATTGGCTCAGTAGGTAACGAGCCAATGTCGATTGTTATGGAAAAACAATCCAATTTGATCCACCGGGTCACTCTAGTTTCGAATTTCTTGGAAGTGGGACGAACCCCACTATGCCTCTTATTTCGGCACTAGAAGCGCATCAACTGCTCAGCAATGGTTGTCAAGGATGTATAGCGGTCGTTAATGACCAAATTGAAAAGGAAGTGAAGCTTGAGGAAATTCGAGTGATCCAAGAATTTCCTGACGTATTTCTTGAGGAATTGCCAGGATTACCCTCGAAACAAGAGGTTGAATTTGTCATTGAATTTGTGATGCCCCAGAATGCCACACGCGACACGTGTCAATTAATGTTATTAATAATTTTGCTAGCGGAAGTCAAAGTCTGAACAAGTTTTAAACATGAATACCACACAAGTTTAGTCAACAAATTTATGCTTCTTATTAACAACACTTGTCAGATTTACAAGCTTAGACAAAACATCATATACGTACAAAAAACAAAAGACTGGGTAGGTTGAGATTGCCTATCTCCATACTAGACTATACTCCAAAAGTCTGTTTGAACAAAAGTCTGGTGACATCATGGATCGATGACTTCACCCTCCGTTGTGGAGCCACCATCATCTAAGTCGAAGCCCTTCAACGGGCCAACTAACTCGCCATCAAGGTTAAAGTACCATGCAACAAAAAAGATAAGGAACCCATTTTGCCAAACCCACGTCAATCTAGACCGTAGAGCTACACTTAGTATATACTGTTTCAGACTCAGGCACAAACACATTTTCATAGACAGCTTCATGATATACGGGAACTCCAAAAGGTAGAGGCTGTGAAACATCCATCCTACATGTTTGAAAAATAAAGGAATGGGCCGAGACCCAGTAAATGAAATCTCTAGTTTTAAATTAAGAAAATCATCTTACCACTTCACTCGGTACAACAAAATAAGTGCATAAAAGCCAATAAGTATGCTGAGAACATGAATAAGTGCCATACTTTTCCCTCTTTGATATGCCAGAGCAATCCATTCACTTCATTATTCCATGATATTTTAGTTCAAACACAAGAATGTAGTATATAGCACTCATACTCATGCATTAAGTTCATTACTTCTCCTCCCGAACTCTCTCGAGGCATCCCGTACCACAGAGCGGGGCATCTCGAAACTCCTGGGGCATCCTATACCACACAGCAGGGCATCCCAAAACTTGGGGTATCGTCACCTTTTGATTTATGGGTGACAGAACTGTATTATTTCAATGCAAGCCATAACCATATTCATAAGCATTTATACGCATTTCATTATGCACATTCACCTTTTTGCTCCACCACCTATTCCTCAAGAAATGAAATCTTAACCAAACAAACAAGTAATAAGCATCACGGGTTCAGACTCAAAAGGCTAAAGTCTACTCAAATTCAGAAAGTACACATATATTCAGACTTTGAAACTAAAGTCTACTTGGGTTTAGAAATACATACGTTTAGACTTTAAAAATAAAGTCTACTCAGATTTAGAAATACATACGTTCAGACTTTGGAAATAAATTCTATTTGGTTTCAAAATAGACATGTCCAGATTTTAACAATAAAATATGTTTATTCTTAAAAATATACTTGTCTAGATTTTGACCCTAAAATCTATTTAGTTCAGAAGTAAATAGAATCAGAATTTGAAATTAAAACCCGCTCAGTTCAGAAGTAACGAGAATCAGAATTTGAGGCTAAAATTTGCTCAGTTCAGAAATAAACAAAATTATCATTTACACTCACCTAATATAATCCACTTTGAGTAAAATGATTTTCTACCCTTTTAAACATACATAAAGCCAGCAAGACAGTTTCCACAATTATTTCAAAGATGACATTTACACGTTCAGATTTAACCATTGCATTTGCCGATTTTCAACACACTTTAAGGAAACAAATCACAACCACTTGAACATGTACAGAACCAGCAAAGCATATCCAACCATCACAATATCTTCACTAATATCACACATCAGAATAGCATTTCTCAAATAACCAAGTTAAAAAGTGTCAAGTAGATTTACTTAGCTTAACTCTAGAATCTTCACTTACCTTGTGTAAAATCTGAACACCCAAAAGTTAAAGCTCTCTCGTAGATTTTGGATCGGGTGATGGTGAAAGTAGAAAGTGAAGAAGGGAATTAAGGTTTGGTTGAAAATTCCCTTCGGTATTTACTAAGATGAAAATGAGCCAGAGGAGTAGACGTTGAGGTGGATAAATACATTGCACTCACAAGTAGCACTTCCCCTTTCCATTACGGCCAGGTGTAAGAAATCAAGGGTTTAATCGGAAGGAGTGATGGCCAAGAAAAATGATTGCTTAAGGCTAGGTATCAAACTAGAACAAGAAGCTTGGCTTAAGAGGACAAGTGGCGTGTGGCCAAGCTTACTCCTTCATAAGCCAAGTGAGAGGAGAGTCTGAAGAGATATTTTGGTGAGAATATCTCCCCCTATTTAACACCAATTAGAAATTAATAAAATGGTTAACATTACTTAACCAAAAATTGATCAATAATATTACCCACTAATTACCAAGACAACGGTAAATTAATTAATACTGCACTACTATTAACATACACAACAACGTTTAAAATTTTAGAAACGTCGAGCTCGGAACGATTACGTTCTCGAATTTGCGCCTCGCAATTTGTGGTCCAACAACGATTTCTACGCGTCCGCACGAATACTAACTTAAATAATACTTAGCTTTATTATCTAAGTATCATTTTCGAACATGGAAAACTTCCAACGTCACATACATATTATTACGAAATTTTCGGATATCACAGAATTAGCCCCAGGAACAGAACCTATATCAAAAGCCCTTATAGAATGGCCTTAATGGAGTTGAAAGAATTAAAGGTGCAATTACAAGAATTGTTTGATAGGGGATTTATACGATCAAGTGCATCACTGTGGGGTGCGCCAGTGCTATTTGTGAAGAAGAATGATGGATCCTTAAGCTTGTGCATCGACTATAGGCAATTGAATCAAGCAACGGTTAAGAACAAGTACCCGTTACCTAGAATTGATGACTTATTTGATTAGTTGCAAAGAGCATCTGTGTTTTCAAAGATTTACCTACAGTATGGATATCATCAACTGTGGATTAAGAAAAAAGACATTCCTAAGACGGCCTTCTGAACTCAATATTGACATTACGAGTTCACGATTATACCCTTTGGATTGACTAACGCGCCAGCAACGTTTATAGACCTAATGAATCGGGTGTTTAAACCGTTTTTGGATCGATTCGTGATTGTCTTCATCGATGATAACCTGATATACTCGAAAGGGCCAGAAGTGCATGAACAACACCTAAGGACGGTACTTCAGTCTCTTCGAGAACATAGGTTGTACGCGAAATTTACCAAGTGTGAGTTTTGGCTGGATCGAGTAATATTTCTGGGTCATGTGGTGACTGGCGAAGGTATGTCAGTAGACCCAGACAAGATTGAGGTAGTAATCAATTGGCCAAGACCAAAGACAGTAATAGAGATTCGAAGTTTTCTGGAAATGGCTGGTTACTACCAGAGGTTTGTTGAAGGATTTTCACACCTCGTAGGATCGTTAACCCGATTAACGAGGAAGGATACAAAGTTTGAATGGGATGAGGCGTGCGAACAAAGTTTTCTGAAGCTCAAGAGAAAACTAACTACAACACCGATTCTAATAATACCATCAGGATCAAAAGGATTCGTGGTGTATAGTGACGTTTCCCACAAAAGACTTGGGTGCGTTTTAATGCAGCATAGAAAGGTCATTGCTTATGCATCAAGACAATTAAAGCCGTACGAGTTAAATTATCCGACGCATGATTTAGAACTTGCGGCGATTGTCTTTGCGTTGAAGATATGGAGACATTATATCTATGGAAAGAAGTTTGAAATTTATACGGATCATAAAAGTTTGAAATATCTGTTCTCTCAAAAGGAGTTGAATATGAGACAGAGGCGATTGATGGAATTGTTCAAAGATTATGATTGTGAGATTTTATATCATCCGGGAAAAGCAAATAAAGTAACGGATGCATTTAGCCGAAAGTCTGCCTTGACAAT